GTTCAATGTTGTAAATGATGTACATATATTTATATCTGTCTGTGTTGTGTATGTCCCTCAACTATTTTTTACACCACTGTATATATACAATAAAATAGTTGATAATGTCTATGTTTACTAACCCGATTGTTTTGTCATTTCAGCTACTAACCACTAAAAACTACCGCAAAGTTAAGTTCGACGGTTCATTAATTTTGCCGTCACCACTCGACACTGGCAGTATAGTCGACAACTCCGTTTTGGAGACTCAGTTGCCAAAGAAGAAAAAAAAAATATAATTTCTAGAATTTGATCTAATTGTTAGTATTAACCCCATTCTTGATTGTAAATTTTAGTAAACAAGACTACCTACATTATTTTTTACATATTTTTATATTTCATGATCTCATGTATACATGTTGGTACTGATTAATTATTAATACTTAATATATGTAACGTTAAGTTTTACTGTTACTGTCATTATAGGAACCATAATGTTTACAAAAAGACAAATATACACATTTTGTTAAGTAATGTTGTATTTTCCTCACCTCCATTTACTATAATAATAAAATACCCAAAAATAATGAAACTACTATTGCATGTAATTCATTTAATATTGAGCTTCGCTTCAGTACCTACATTTCTAGTTCAAAATATATCTGGATGAAAATAACCTTGCTCGGTGTTCTTGTGAGTACATATGCCATTATGTAATGTTATTCTGCGTCAGTTGTTCCACATCCGATCAACTGCTGCGAAAAAATGAAAAGGTACCACGCTCCATACAAATTTGGTCATTGTCAAAACTAAATTACTTAATTCAAACCAGTATTTTTTTATTTCTTGATGTTTTCGTAGTTTGGTCGGGTCTATTTTACCAAAACTAAAAATGTTGAATATCTCAGAAACTAGCCACTTTCGGACCAGTTACCAGAGCTATTTCTGTAGAAAATTAGAAAATTAGCTGTAATACAGCAGCAGCAGTGGTATTTGTCGAGTTACAAATATAATACAGGAATTTTATTGCTCAAAGGTATTATATAGATAGATAAGTACGATATTTTGAGACGATAAATTATGTCGTCAGAACTAAGTCATAAGTTAGGTAGGTTTTGACTTTCAAACACGTATTGAATTCGAGTAGTTATCATTTTTCTTAATATTTGTCTCACGAATACTTTTATAATTTTGTCTTACGAGTACCTATAGGACATGCCCCATAGCTGTCACCCGGCATTCACAGAGTTCACCCGCGACGCGTGACGAAGTGAGTTCGGTCCCTGTAAAGTTCTGCATAAGAAGTTGTAAAAATAGTTATTTAATTGATTTTGACGTTTGTATGGGTGCGATAATGTTAATATGAGTGTAAACTATTACTGAATTTGATATTCAGGCTAAATAGCAACAACGTAGGGATTTGTGACTTGAAGAAAGTGCTAAACAATAAGTGCCAGAAAAAATAATAATAATGTGAATAAAAAAAAACTTAATAATCCGCAATAGAACATGTCAATAAATAAAAGTGAAACAAACAATCCAAATAAATAAATAAAAGTGTAATTTTCTACAAACAGGTGAACAAAGAAACTGTACAAAATATTTCTATACCGCCATTGCTAAGAAAAAAATCTCATATTTGCATTATGGGTTACTATTTCATCGCATATTTGGCTGTACGGATAGCTTTGTCAAGAAAGTGGCTACACTGACTCGACGTGGCTCGAGTTCGATCCTCACGAAACGCAGATTCTTTTTGTAAATTGTTATTTAAATTGTTTCTGATTATGTCTACGGAAATAAACCACAATGTAACATTGCGAAGACGAAAACAGTTGTTTAGATCAAAGTCAATAGACTCATTGAGTAATGACTCATCATTAGATAAAACCAATTCCGACACAAGAAGTCTTGACCTATCAACGGGTATCAGTAAAAATGAATTTGATGAAATGAAGGTTCAAATATCACACTTAAAAGAACAGTTTGACCGAACACAAAACGAACTGGATAAGGTAATATGTGAGAACAATGAACTCAAAGAAACAATACAGCGGCAGCAAGTTTGTATTAATACATTGAAATACCTTTGTTCCACTCCTACAAAGTCGCAAAGACAAAAGTTAATGTCTGTACGAAAAAAAAATAGACATTCTATTGCTGATAATCTGCGTGTAGGCGTCTCAGGGCAAGGATACTCCAGTCCCAATGAAAAAGACTACAATGAAAGCACCAATGTATCCTTAGACTCCGATCATTATCAGGAATCTCCTAGAATAACAGATGATGACAGGGCATTGGAAACGTCTGTCTCCATAATAAATAGCAATCATGTACCAATCATTGGGACAACAAGTCTTCCACCAATATTCATGGACAAACAAACACAGACAGAAGGTCCGTCATACGTCGAGTATATAAATTGTAATAATAAAGAAATTAACATAAGTAAGAAGTCAGTACAAAATCAAGGAATATCAACAATAGATTGTAATGGAAAGAGAAAACTATGCGTCCTCAGTAACTGCAATCATAACGGAACACTAGGAATACTGGAAAACACGTTTGGTCAGCACTTCGACTTTTGTCATTACCTATCGCGTAATAGTAATATAAACGACATGCTATCAATCCTATCCAATAAGATAAAAAATTACTGCCTGGATGACTACTGCATAATTATGATTGGAGAAAGAGATTTTAAAGGTAACGGCGAATTGAATGAAATGGTCAAATTAATTAGAGAATCTCTCATCAACATGTCTCATACAAATATTATTATATGTTGCCCTACATTCATACAAGGCGCCTTGATACACAATTATAAAGTAGAAATGTTTAATAGATTGCTTAATTTGGACATAGTAAACCAATTTTTTAATAATTCTAAAAATAAATGCAAAGCGACATGGTCAATTATAAAAAATAACTTAAATAAACCTAGTAGTAGCACCTTTATAAATGAATTAATATTTAATGGTAAGAAGATTACTAATTCTAATGACATATGTACTCAATTTAATAATTATTTTATCGAACTGACACAACAGGTACAAAAAGACAATTATGACACAAACAACATTGACATTGACAATAATATAAATACTTTATTTCTAACTCCGTTAAATCCGATTGACGTTATCAAAATTATTAATTCATTAAATAACACGAATGCGACTGGATATGACGAGGTAACCACTAAAATAATTAAATTAAGCGCTAAATTTATAGCGACTCCACTTAGCTACTTAATTAACCTCTCTTTCGAAGAAGGTGTTTTTCCATATAGGTTAAAACAGTCTATAATCAAACCACTATTCAAAAAAGGGAACTGTACTGATGTAGGCAACTATAGACCCATTACACTGATCCCAATCTTTTCAAAAATATTTGAGAAGGCAATGCATGACAAGATAAATAGCTTTGTGACTAAATTTAATTTAATTGTTGAGAATCAGTTTGGTTTTAGGAAAAATAGCTCAACCACCCTAGCTTGTTTTTATTTAGTGAAACAAATTACTGAAGCTCTTAATAGTAAACAGTCTACTTTGTCTATATTCTTAGATATGAGCAAAGCCTTTGATTTTGTACCACACGAGCGGTTACTTTGCAAACTGGAGAGGTATGGCATAAGGGGTAAGGCGCATGATTGGATTAAAAGTTATTTATCTAATCGCCAACAAAGAACTGTCATCTCTAGGATAGAAAATAATACTAAAATGACATATAGTTCAGAACTAAAAGTTAATAATTTCGGAGTACCGCAGGGTAGCGTACTAGGTCCGCCATTATTTATACTATTTATTAATGATCTTAAGAAATGCTTGAAATGTGGCTGCACCCAATTTGCCGATGATACTACTCTGACAATAAAATGTTCTAATAAAAATGACATAGAAATTGATGCTAATAATGAATTAATCAACGTGATAAAGTGGCTATCGGATAATAATCTACAAGTTAATATTGAAAAAACTAAAATAATTCAATTTCAAACATGTAACTGGTCAATAATCCCGACGGCAATTAAATATAATAAAGCTATTCTTCAACCAGTACCATCAACTTTGTTTTTAGGAATAGTTATTGACGATAAATTGAACTGGAAAGAACATGTGGAAAGGGTATGCGGTAAGCTTGATAGGTTTGTTTATGCTATCCGGAAGTTAAGACTAGTATCCAGTAAACAAACAGTTCTAAGCGCTTATCATGGTTATGTTTCATCGGTATTGAGATACGGCCTAGTCATATGGGGTAATTCAGTGGATATAGAAAGAGCATTCTTAGTACAAAAAAAAACTATCAGAGCCATGAGTGGAGCAGATTATTTGGATCATTGTAAGCCTTTATTTAAAAAATTTAAGATTCTTCCACTCCCTTGTTTATATATTTTTGAGGTTTGTCTATTTGTTAAGAGACATCCGCATTTATTTATATTGGATGAACAAATCTCTGAGAGACTGAAAAAAATACATGCCGGTAAATTACTAGTACCTTCTCAAAGATTGCAACTGTATAGTAGAAATGCCAGTTGCATGACAATAAAAAATTATAATAAACTACCACCTGCATTGAAAAATTTACCAATTAATAAATTCAAATGTAAAATGTTTACTTGGCTCCTGGACATGTGTTTTTACTCCGTTAACGAATTTTTAAATCATCCTTTTTGACCTTGTAATTAATATTTGATGCTATTAGAATATTGAGAATATTGACATTATGATTAATATATATATATATATTTTTTAATTTGGAACCAGTAACTATGACATGTATTTTCTTTATTTTTTTTGTTTCGTAATTATATTTTGACATAACAATTTGGACGAAAAATGTATTATTGTTTTTTTTTTAATGAATAAATTGTATCAAATGAAGATTATTGTAATGTCTAAAATTTGCATGGACTTAGCTTATTTAATATTTCTACACCAGAAATGGTAGTATATGTGTTTCTATATTTAATGTAAGATCTCAGTGTACCATGTACTTAGAAATAAATACATCTTTATCTTTATCATTATAGTAAGACGGATGTTCCATAAAGACCGATGCTTGACCCGTTCTTGTTTTACTTCATTGAAACCTAAACTAACGAAAGTCTTGTGTGATTTGAGCATCAATAATCTTTGATGGGCCTAGAGTATGCATTTCAGGTCCGGAAGCCCTACTCTGTAAAGGGATAACTCTTGGAAAAGGTATAGCGCTGCTTTATTTAAAATACCACGCTCATTGAAACAACATTCGTATGAGGAACGCTTGAACGTTTTGAACTTAACCACTTTGAATGATCGCAGGCAACGTGGAGATCTAATTGAGACAGACATACAAGATCTTGGGTGAACATCATGACATTCCAAAGTTCGTCAAACTAATCTCACGTGATGAAAATCTTCATCTTAGAGGCCACCACCCTAAGCTATGTACTTACAAGCTTCTCGAAAAATAACCCTCTGAGACACTTCCTAAGCAATCATTTAGCCAGAGCGTGCAACAAGCTACCAGCAAATGTAATCGCAGCAACGCAAAGCGAAATGTTAACCAATTCAAATATAGACTTAACAGGCATACGAGATCGAAGTATAAAACGTAGATAAGTAAATACGATACAGGCATATAACAGCTCTTCACTGCCTGTCTGTCAGAGTAAATAAATATGTAATAATAATAAAAGTTTGTCAATGAACCATACACAAATTGATACGCGAGTAGCAAATGAAACCGCAGCATAAGTTGAGGTATCAAGTAATATATTATATTGTACTAAGGTCACTAGACTAGGTCGCGACTACACTTTCTGTTTGATCACATGCGGCAGGTCGTACTTGCCGCGCACACACTTCAGCTTCACTCCGGGACAGTCCTTCAACCTGCAATATGTACGCACCTAGTGAGTATACATACATAACCTATAATAATATTAATATATAAAGCTGAACAGTTTGTTTGTTTGAATGCGCTAATGTAAAAGGCGCCTCGTGCGAGTTTGTTTCACGTTAACGCGATCGACGCGTTTATGACGTTCAGAGCTCTGATTGGCTAGCTTTAATAGCACTAACATAAAAAGAACTCGTTCTAGGCCCTCTGCCCTCTTATTCTGATTTGAATTGAAATATAATTAATATTTTTGTATTGAATACATTACTTATCGATGAAGCCTATAAAATATCACGAGCCGAGCAGGAATAGCAAGTTGTAGAATAATGTGTATGATGTGAGCATGTGACTAGTGTCGCGGGTACCGACCTGCCGACCCTGACGAGCACGATGTTGTGTTCCTGCAGGTTGTGCCCGATGCCCGGCACGTACGCCACCATCTCCTTGCCGTTCGAGAGTCGCACCAGCACACACTTGCGGTTGGCAGAGTTCGGCTTCTTTGGTTTCTTTATCAGTGTCTTTAGCACTACTCCCTGGAATTGTCAAGTCATGCTATTTATATTACCTATACTATATGCTGCATAGAACAGCTATAATAATATACTTATGTTCGATCAGTCTTCAAAAGTTAAGATAGTTTTATGACTCCTTTACTAATTGAAACAGTTGAAACAAATACTTATTCCTATCTGCTCCGCTGGATGGTAAGCGGCCTACCGGACACCGCAGCCCGAGTTCCTTTGTAATACAATCTGTATCACAATGGAGTACCAAGGCTGTCACAAGTGCGTTGCTGAATATGAGCACGTTTCTGACAATCACACAGTGGGTTTTGTATATTACGATATATCGAAGTATTAGCTACCTTAGCGAAAGGGTTTCCATTAAGCGGATTCCTAGACTTCCTTAATTTAATGTGAGGTCCTGTTCTATGCATCTGGTTGAGCGAAGCCATTGCTCTGGACAGTATGCCCAGGGGCTGGAACATTGGCGCCGCAGCGGCCGGCGGCGGCGCGGGCAGCGCTGGAACTACACGAGTGCAACGTTAGTATTAACATTGTAAACAACACAAACAAAAATAATATTAGGTCTGTACCTATGATATTGCCGTTTTCAGTACCTGCTGGTCATTTCAAATCAAAATAATTTTGGTTTGGCTAAGAATTCCAATTTGAAATTAATTTGATTTTATAATCATGGATTTCATCTGTATATAGTATAATGTGAGTACCCTCGCGGCAGCAATGCGGCACTAGCGGCACGCAACATCAACGACGTTTACGGAGCTAACACTACAAACCAACACACCACCTGTTTAGTTTGTTCGCTTCCGTTCTAGACGTGACTTGCGACCTGATGAAAAATGAACCTCGCGGTCGTTTTAACGAAGACTTTGTTCGACAATGACGAATTAAAGACGATTGTGGAAGCTGCCGATACACAGTCTACGGCTGAATTAGCAGCAGTTTTCGACGTCACAATAATATTAGTTCATTTGCATCAAATTGGCAAGGTAAAAAAGCTTGACAAATGGGTGCCCCACGAACTCAATGATCGCCAGCGCGAAGTACACGTCGAAACGTGCCTTGCAGTGCTCAAAAGACACAGACATTAAGGAAATTTCAACCACATTGTTACCTGCGATGATAAATGGATTCTGTTTGATAACCGCAAGCGCTCAGCAAGTTAGTTGGATTCTGGTTCAGTACCTAAACAATGCCCTAAACGAAAACTTATTCCTAGAAAAATGATGGTCACTGTTTAGTGGTCAAGCACCGGTGTAATTCATCACAGCTTCTTACCAAACACAGTGAGCATTAACGCAGATGTGTACCGTGAAGAACTGAACACATGGATGGAGAAGTTGGCACATCTCGAACCAGCATTGGTCAATCGCTAGTCTCCCGCTGCTCCTGCACGACAACGCGTGACCTCATACTGCACAGCAGACGGTCTCAAAGTTGCAAGAACTGGAGTTGGAAGCTCTCCACTCTCCGTCATCCGCCCTACACACCAGACCTTGCGCCTACTGACTACTACTTTTTCAGAATTTAAATAACTTCTTGGCAGGAAAAAAACAAGAAAGAATTTGTTGCCTCCCGTTCAGCTGATTTCTTTAAGAAGGACATCAATAAACTGCCACTGAGTTGGCAAAGATGCATTGTTTGCATGGGTGATTACTTCGATTAATACTTATTAAATTTTTAATAAATTAAACCCTATGTTTACTTTATAACACAGTCGTTATAACAAACATATGGTGTTCAAATGGCCAAGACTTGCACTCAATCTCCTGACCTGTGAGCCGCAGTCACAACATCGCATCACTTGGACCACAGCCCGCTACACGACAGCACCTGCTCTTTTTGCGGATTATAATCCGCTAATAGTGGGCATTGTCCACAGATGACGGACACACTTAAGTAAAACGATTTCTTTTTGACAGCATGACTCTCGGGACAGCAAACAATGGGCAAGAGTTGGCAACCAGCTTCACGTTCTGGGAAACGCTGTAAATCATATTTGTGTAAGAATAACATTAATAACTGCTGCGGTGATAACAATCAGCAAAATGTGCAACATTCTGGACAGAGACAGACATTATCGCATTATGCGCGACACAGTAGGCTTCGTAGGCTCTGAAACCTACACGCGCAACCCTAGATGATTTACAAATGTGTTGCCGGTGTTCACTTATTTACTCAACTAACTAATACTGATTATGTTAGTTAGAAATTTGCACAGGTTTTCAGTAGTTTTAACTTTCAGTAAACTCTAAACTACCTATTTTGACATCCTGAGATTAAGCTGTACTGCTGTCCAGACGGTAACACGATTCTGCCACAAAATTGGCAAATGACAATAAGTACAGGCCCATGGCCATTGTGAGCTTCTAAAGCCTTTCGCAATTGTCATTCATCCACTTGACAGCTCAGTTGTACAAACAGGAATATATCAGGCGCTAATCCGCGACGACTACGCAGCGTCTGTTTACTTTTCATACAAAATACATATTTTTCTTAAAAGGATTTTTTATGATTTGCTTCATTTACGTGTTTGTTATAAATATTTAATATCTTGATATTGTATGAGGTGAGAATACTTACATCGCAACTTTAGTGTTATAAATGTTTAGACTTGCGAGAGTGAAATTAGTGTCTCGATAGGAATAATTATTCAGTCATTACGAAATGTCGGTGACAACTTCCGTGATTCCGTGGAGATGCTCGTACCTATCAAATAAGTACGATAGAGAGAGTGCTAAGTGAGGTGAGGTATTCTGTTAAGTTTATGAATGGTTTGGGAGGGGTTAGTCACAATGGTAATTGGCCTTGTTTTATATTTATACATAAGATTAATACTACAGTGGCCTAGGTATTTTCTACCCGTTACTATATAAAGATGGAGAGCAGCCAGCAGAAAAATTAATAACTTCTTCATATATTTCTGTTGTCTCGTTACAGGGCTTGCGCACACAATAAATAGTACAACACCTGTGTGCACATGACCCGAGGGTAATTTTCGTGATTCTTTCCCTATAGTTAGCGCAGACTGTAGATAACGTCCTACATAGATAAACATAGGAAAAAAACGATTTTGTAGAAACCGATTGAATTAGATAGCTGAGTACATGTTTTGTGTACAAAAGATGTCCGTAAGGACGTAGGAGGTACCTACTCCACCCACCCCAAGAAGAAAGAATATTATCTTAGAATTTCATACAATTTCAGTCAAATTTAAAAGCGATAGAATCAGAGAGTTGAGTAAATAGAAACATCAAGTCATGCAAGCATGACAACGGTACAATGCACGCAAGTGTGAATGGAGCGGCCGACGTCAGGGACCGGTCGGTGTTGCGGTCAGCGCGGGAGCTGCTGACTCATTGCGACCCTTCGCACTACTCATGTGACGTGTGTGGTTGGCAGAATAAGTAGTAGCGTGTGGTGGTTCCACCTTGTTGAATATTACCACAAGGAGTATAGTTATGGTGTTACAGTGTAGCAAGTCTTGCTCAGCCAACAATATCAATAGGTAATCACTACCACAAACACGCAGAAACAAAAGTACAGTTATCTTGCCCGAAGCGTAACACAACAACTTTATTTCTGCGAACCGTACCGATCCCAGATGACTTAATCCGTGTCCACGCGGAAGGGTTCTCATCCAAATGACAGGCGCGCGACAAAACCCTTGCAAATATTATTGTACTCCGACGGATAATGCAAATATACTAGTTGTGTGCTGAGTAATTGGGTCGAGTTTTGCATGAGCTCACTCGCAGCTGCACTCTGATGCAGATGTTGGTAGTCCGCTATAAGTACTTGACAGTTAACGTGGTTTCCTATATACAAACTTGTATAATGATATTTTTTAAGATGTCGTCGCAATAGAACTCGAGAGCGAGATCACCATGACCAGATATAAGTGAACTAAACAAATAGGGTAGTTTCCAGGGTAAGAAAATTAAAAATCTAATTAGTCCGTTAGTTAGATAAGGAAAAAATATTAGACACGTATTTTTTTATTTTCTCGTATTTTTTTTTTAAGGGGGGAAAATCATCGAATGACTGCTCCCGCCTGGGTGAGGCGGAAGGGAGTGTCAGTCAGTCATTTTCTCGTATAAAGTTACAATAAAAGTATAAAGTTTAGGAGTGGGAGGTAGTTACGTCACACACAATAAAATTAGATGTCAATGTTGCTTGTTTTAGATAGAAGGTAGAACTGCGTTGTTGGCCGAGTGGTCGCAAGTGCGACTGCCGGGAAGGGGTCTCGGGTTCGATTCCCGGGTCGGGCAAAGTATTATTGGGTTTTAAAAAAATATACAGTAGTAGCACGGAATCTGGAAATGTGCCCGGTATATGGCATTAGGCTCACCCCCTATTACATGGGACTCATAACATAAATAGTGAAAAGCGAGTGTTACTTCTGTGTGTACCTCTGTCTACCCCTTCGGGTACAAAAAGGCGTGATGTTACGCTATGTAGATTTTGCTTTGTATAAGTGTCTTATCAATTTTTAAAAATTAAACATTCAAACATCTTAATAGAAAAAACAACCAATAGAAAATGCATCGCAACAGCATGTTTTTTTTTAATTTACTTTCATTTAATGAGGTACTATGCGAATTACTCAGTTAATTAGGGTAAAAATAAGCAACAAACAACTTATTACTACCAAAAACTTAAGCTTGTCTCTCTTCAACATCAATGCAAAGTTGGTTTGTTCATTTGCATTCGTTGGAATTATTAATTGTTGAGTGAGATGATAGAAATATGGAACTAAAGTAATATCAATTTTAAATATTAAAAAATATTGTAATTACCCCAGATTTAAATAAACTAAATATAAAGATAAACATAACATTGTGCAATACAAATAATTAATCAAATACAATCTCTTTATGACTTTCTAACTCATTCAATATTATTCTTTAGGCAGTAATTTATTACTTAACTCGTCGAGTACCGGTTTTATAGACACAATTAAAGAACAATAGGTCGCGGTCACCGGTGACCGCTTGGTGTTTGACAGTTTAAAAAAGCAGAAAAATAATATTTAAAAATATAAAACTAGGATCTGACCAGTAGTGAGAGCATGGGCCAAGCTACCGGTTGTTAGGGCTCCAGAGACAGAAACCTCCCCATAATGTGTGCTGTGACAAGGAAAACTATCTTCTGTACGCCCTTAACCCTTGCGCCTAACGCCAGCCTCATATTAAGGTGGTTGCCGAGGCTGATAGGAATTAACCCATTGGCCGACATGACTATCGCGACAATGATATCTGAATCCACATTCCACATGTCGACAACCTTGTGACCCAAGTCAAGATATATTATTTGCTAGTCTTTCTCATTATTACTAAAAGTAATCTAATAAGATTCAGTTACTCAATATTATTTAAAGGTTAATTAATATTAGGTACTGTTAGTCATAATTACCTGGTAATTGTTTACATTGCGCCTTGATACCGATGGAAAGCAGCGATAAACCTCTACGCAAGAAATTCATCTAAAAAACAGAAAAATATTACTTAAAATGTGCACCTTTTCCAGTTTTGTGGCCAATTTGTAGAAGATAAATAGTCACCTTTTGCCGCAGGTAATAATTAGTTTACCAGTAACAACTAATTTAATGAACAATATTTCTAACAAAACAAAAAAGAAATGTTCAAATTTATTTCATAACCTCTCTGATAACATTTTGACAAATAGTGACACTGACAATTATAGTACAGTGTTGCTCACATGATTATGACATTTATGTGGACAAATAAAAATAACTTCTACAATTACGACTTTGTAAATTAGGAATTTTATTATCAATTCTAATTAAAATATTGAAATGGTTGCACACTTTTTCTTTCACACACAAATGTAATTCTTTCAATTAAATGTCATAATAGCGCCACCTAGTGGAGAGTAGACCAAACAATGGACAACCTTCGACTTTCAAATATTCACCGATAGATGGCAGTAAAAATAAAAATGTTTATTCAATTTGAACGAGTTTGGGCGCGATATTTATGTTTAATGTAGTAAATATATTATTTTTATTAATTTTAGTTCTGTATATGGCTCCGTATTGGCTCTAGCTCTATATTTTTGATATTTT